GTAAGGAGCGTCCAACAGGTATATTTTTGTGTATAAATAGAAGTGTTGTGTGTGGAGAAAAATCAAGAACTTGAAGAGAAAATTTTCTTAAGCTCCAAAATTCTGAGTACATTGTATTCTGCTATTTCACTTTCAAATCTAAGTCTAGCATTTGTTCTTACACTTTCATATCTACTCTTTGTGAGAGAATTATTGTAAAAGAGGGTTTAAGTACCACTTATTCTTATTCCATATTTTTGTGAGAGATTTTGTAAGGGTAAGGCATTTATTGTTGAGTGAGACTTAATAGATAAGAGTAAGTCATGTGCCAAATCCACAAGCTTGGTGGTGTATTTATTCAATTGATAGTAAAGAAATTCTCAAAGAGGTTCCTTGGGGAGTGGACGTAGGCTTGGCGTGCTGAACCACTATAAATCGCAGTGTTTGATTTTCTCTCCCTATCTCTCTTACTTTTATATTAATAATTATTACTCTGTTTTTTTTTATTTATTAAAATTCTAAATATTGTGTTAATTTTAATATTGTGAAATTTTTAATAACCCAATTCACCCCCCTCTTGGGTTGCCTATCTGGGATAACATATACATTTGTACATTCAAACTTTTTTTTAAAATTGCATTTTATGAAATTCAGGTTTCTTTGCTGATATTGTTTACATCAATCATTTAATATGTTTGAGTTTTTGCTGATATTGGATTTAATTTGTTTTTAACATAGAAATGATTAGTGGTGTCTCACCTAAGAGGCCAACGGCATCCAACAGAAGACGTGCTAGGCAAACATATCCTGGAGCATTGGAAGTGAATGTCTCTGTGGAGGAGGATGACTATGTCAATGTGAGTAATGATTATGTCGACAACGATGTTGGCGTGGAGGATGATAATGTCAATAATGATATTAGTATGGAGGCTGACCTCATGGAAGATGATGTTGAAATTGATGATGACAACACAGAACTAGTTTCGGGTGCTCCAGAGGATCCTTCTTTGCTAATTAGCTTTCGTAACCATATTCCTGCCGCTGTTTGGAAGAGAAAGGTATTTTTTTGAATTTCTTAACAATAAATTAATCATATGTACTATATGCTTCAAATTGTTTATATGTTTTATGTGAAATGTAGAAACGAGGACCTCTTAAATGTTTGAATTGTTCTCGAAAGCTTGTCGAGTGGCCATGGATGTCACCAACAGTTGAAAATGCTAGGCGGAGACATTTGGTTGAGTAGTCTGGTCTTAGTGCCCTTATTAATCACACATATTGGTATGGCAATAGAGTGGCAATATCTGTCTTCGTGGAAATGTAGCATCTAGAGACAAATTAGTGTGTTTGGTATGAGTTTTTTAGATTAAGTTTTTTAAAAACTTAGTTTTTTTGGTTTTCGCATTTTTTTGTTTTTAATGAATATTTTTAAAATTTTAAACATTTTTTTTACTTTTTTAGATGCACCTTACTTAAATATATCTAAAAAGTAAAAAAAAAAAAGTGAAAAAATATTTTAAAAAATTAATAAATACATAAAAATACAAAAAATGTACTGAATTCTCTTTTTTTTTATTTATATATTTTTGGTATTTAGTGAATTTTTAAAAGGTTTTTTTCACAATTTTTTTACTTTTTAAGTATATTTATGTTAGGTATGTCTAAAATTTTTTTAAAAAAATTGCTTACAATATTAAAAAAATTCAATAAAAACAAAAAAAAACACGGAAAAAAAGAAAGTAGAATTTTTTGAAAAATGTTTTTGGAAAACTCTAACCAAGCAAGTTGAATACATTTCACATGCTAGATGGTGAGATGACTATCACGTTGGATGATGTACGGACCATACTTGGCATTCCAGTCACTAGTAGAGCATTGTCATGTCCTAAGTTAACAAGACATGAGGTTGCTAAACTAGTGAGTTCTACTTTGGAAGTGTAGTGAATGATGCATTCGCAAAATTAATTCAATCTTGTGGTCAATCCGTGAAGTTGGACTGGTTGAGAATCAGATTTCATGAAGTTAAAGATACAGATGATGCAAATTTCATACAGTAAGTAGCTAGAGCTTATTTGCTATATTTATTAGGTTGTACCCTCTTCATTGACAAGAGTGGGACTTAAGTACCCGTTGCTTACTTGTACATGTTGACTGACATTAATGTTGTTAGCTCATAGGCATGGGGTGTTGCAGGTTTAGCATTCCTATATAGACAATTAGGACTTGCTAGTAGGGTTGGCGTTAAGCAAATTGTGGGTTACTTGAAGCTATTAGAACCGTGAATTTATGAGCAATTTCGTTTAGGAAGGCCTCATCCAAATTTGTTGTATTCTGATGAACAACCTCGTGTCTATTGTTGGAGTCCACAAAAAGATGGAGGTTCTATAAAAGACCACTTGCAGACATTATGAGAGTAGCTTGACATGTTACGTGCTAATGAGGTCAGGCGTTTTGTAATAGTTTCATATTGTAAAAAAATAAGATTTTATAACTAACATTATGCATTGCCTATTTGTAGGTCGAATGGGATCTATACCATTTATGTAGGACACACCATCCATTTTATGACATTGCATATTATACTGGATGCTTGAAATGCTTTGATATTGTTGAACCCTATCATCCCAATATGGTCTTGCAACAGTTTGGTAGGGTCCAAACCATTCCACTAGCTTTATTATCTCATGTTCGAACTATACGAGGCAGTAAACTAGGACAGTACAAAATCACGTATCAATACCATGACACGATATGGGTACAATAGAAGAATCATGTGTTGTCCATTAACGCTCGTAGTATGTCTATACAGCAAAGCCCATCTGAATGTGTACAGGATACCTCCAATGGTATGTTTGTGTTTCGCACTGAATTGTTCAAAATCCTATGCATCACTCTCAGTTTGATGCACGTGTTCAATGACCTGAGAATGATGTTAATATGGATCCCGAGTGGATAAACGAATTGTGAATTAACTTATTTCACTTTTAAGTGGTTCACCATAAATCAAACAATACCTATGATTTTTATCCAAAAAAAATTCAGTGTAATGATGTTTCTTTCAGTGTTGGTGCTGCAGTCCATAGGCTCGATTGTAATGAGTGTGTCTTGCACCCTGACATGCTATATGAAACCATTGGTAGGATACTGCAAGTTCTTCATGGACAGAGTGTGGGATCTACATCAGCACGTACAGAGCATCAAGTTTACTATCGTAAACGTCATAGGATGGATCGTACATAAGGATTGGGATCTAGCATTTTTTGGTGTCATAGTTATGTAAATGTGTTGATCGTACATAAAAGTTAGGATCTAGTTTTTGTGAATGTCTAACCCGTACAAAGTTTGGGATATACTTCTGTGTTGACCGTACATAAGAGTTGAGATTTAGTTTTTGTTTGATAGTATAGTTTTTGTGAATGTCTAACCCGTACGGAGTTTGGGATATACTTTTGTGTTGATCGTACATGAAAGTTAGGATCTATTTTGTTTTTGATGGCATAGTTTTTGTGAATGTCTAGCCTGTACATAGTTTGGATATACTTTCTCCTAATGACATAGTTTTTGTGGATGTCTTGGATCAATGGTAAACTGGATGTTTGGTTAGACAAGTAATGGAGTGTTATATTTTTGTATGAATTTTAAACAATTTCATATCTATTTTGTATTCAATAATTATATTATGATTTTAATGAAAAATCATTTTGGTGACATATGGATTTGTTATTGTTAGTAATGCATTGCAACAATATTAAAGTGTTTTGGAGTGATATGGTGCCATTTACTGGAAGTAACATTGTTGCGTTTAGTAAATGTATCGATTTTGAATTGACCATGACTGCGACCTCGACCCTTACCTCGTGTGTTAGTCTTGAGTTCAGGTTTCACGAAAAATGTATTGTCTAGATTAATTAACTCCCTTAACTTTTTCATAAGGATCACTTGTTGCGTCTCGTCAATCATTTGGAATTTCTCAACAAAAAAATCAGTCTCTGTTTTGCAATCCAACCCCACAAAAGCACTTTCTGAAACTAGAAGCACATCTAACTTCCTCCAATGAGAATTTACGCATGAGAGAGGAATCAGTTGACCTTGTTGAAAATACTCAGCTATCCCATGTGCACATGTCAACCCATGTGTACGTCGTGAAATGCAGCCATATGCAGCAACATCTATTTCCACACTATTCAATCTCTTTGACTCTACCAATATTTTGTCCAAACTACAAATTGAAATAAAACCACGTAACTTAGTGAACTCAATGAGTGTGTAATTGTGTTGGACTATAATCAAATTCCGCTGAAATGAGGCTTTAATGTTTGCATGCTACAACTCTAACAAGTTGTGTATTTTGGTCCAAGATCTCTCAAAACTGCCTTGATGCAACCTGCCTCTTCAATTTAGCATGAGAACTCTTCGTCCTACAAGTATGTATATTTTGGTATTTAATATAAAAATCAAAAAATTATAATAATTCATAAATGTAATAAGCATAATTTACCTATTTATAGTGATATTTCCGAAATGCATAATACAGTTTGTCCAAGCTGCAATAAATTTTTCTTTGTATGGCTCTATCCAATTAGTAGTAACATACTTAATAGCTTCAGGATACATACTAAATTCGGTCTTGAGATTGGAAAATTGTTGATTGAATTCTATTTCTGTTCTAACCAATACCAAAGTGCTCCAACTATGCATGAACTTATTTCATTTCTTTTTCGTCTTAAAAACTTTCTTGCACTTCATCAAAATATTCTTGTTAATATGCCATCTACATAAAATATTAGTGGCCATAGGTAGAACTTTTGAGATGGCTTTCATCAAAGCCAACTCTCTATCTGTAATAATGACTTTTGGAAAAGCAGTCTTCTTCATAATAGTACGCAATACACCTAAACCCCATATATAGTTGTTGTCATGACCCAAACTCACCAATATAGGTTTAGCATCGTAACCGGCTAGTAATCTTGAGATTACCGAAGGCCTCTAAATGGATTAACAAAAGTTAAGAGGCTTGCAGAAACAAATATCAAAATATATTTTCCACAGAGCTGTATAGATATACATGGGACAAAAAAAAATTAAAACTTAATTTGCATAGTTATGACGTCATCCACACGTCACCATATATACATATAGATAACCAAAAGACATGTTCAGACTTAACAAAGAAATACAAAAAGGTCTTAAACATTGTTCACAAAAACTTGACCACTTCAAAACGGGAACCTCATCGAGAGGCACAGTGGTTGGTTGACTGAACGGACCTCCAGGCTATTAGCACTGAACCTGGTCACGCGTTTGATCACCTATATACATAAATAATATAGTGAGCTAGAGCCTAGTGAATAATAACGGAGTAAAAGGGTTTTAATAAACGATGTCCATAACAGATTCAGAATTCAAAATTCAAATTCAGAAACAAAGTCATATTCATAATCATAATCATATTCATTTTCACATTCAGAATTCATATATGATTATACATGGTACATCCATTAGCGTTAACAAATCTGATGACCCATAATTATGTGGGACGTAGTTCCAATGACTCATGTGCACAGAGACGTTCATAGCTGATGACTCATAAAGAAACTTGATGACCCATAAAATGACGTAAAATATCACATGATACTAAAGATGCCACGAATAAATATCAGAAATTCGGATAATCATTCATTTAATTATAAGATAGCATTTCAGAAAACAGATAATATCATTTCATTCAGAAAATACTTAAAGTTATAGCTTTACAGAGTTATTACTCATAGCTCCAAAGGCAGAAAAGTTAGAATAGATGGATCACACAATCTATGGCGCGTGACCTACACAAACACATAGTGGACACACATTGAAACACACGCTCGAAAAATACTTAATTCATTTATATTCTATCTTGGTGTGTTTCTAATCTTTATCTTCATTATTATGTCTTAATTAAGGCTTAGGAATGCCTAAGATGCAATGAGGATGCCAAAACGTGATTTAAAACACTTAGTTAATTTGTTGAAAACATGGTCTTTGCTCGAGCGCAACATTGGTCGCTCAAGCAGTCTGCAAAACTCTGCAAAATTTCTAGGTGCTCAAATTTTACACTCGAGCTAAAAGTTAAAAATAAGGGTGGTTGCTCAAGCGTAGGTTTTGCCGCTCGAGCCAACCCTCAAACTCTGCAAAAGTACTGCAAGCTCGTATTCGTTGCCCAAGCACAGACTCTAAAGCTCGAACGAAGCCTACGAATTCTGGAATTTCCAGATTGCACTTCCAGCTTCAAAACTCAAATTCAAAGCGTCAAAACACATCCTTTGGGCCCAAAACTTGAGAAAACATATCTAAACTTGTAATACATCAAGAATTAAAGACCATTTCACAAAATCAAGGCCCAAAAGCATGCTAATTGTTTACAATCAAACTTGAAACTTGGAAAACATAACATACATGAGTTGATATGAACTTCAACCTTCAAAAACATGATCAAATAAAGTAAAATGATGGAAAACATGATGAATTCCCAAAACTAAAGTAGAATTGGTACATGCATGAGAGAATTCTTTAGAAAACATGCTCAAAATGCAATGAATTGCACATGCATGCACGGTTTACTCTTCTTTCTTAACTCAATTCATGTCTTTAACCTCTAAATTCTCTTGAATCCATGCATTAGTTGACTCAATCACGTAATTAAAGGCTTGAAGTCTTACCTTAGGTGTTCAGTTGGACTCTAGATGACTAGTTCTTAGAGTCTCCATGCTAATTCTTCCAGAGTTCTCTTAATTCCCTACAATTCCCTTCCTTAAGCTTGAATTCACTCTCTTCCTCTCCTCTCCTTCTACACGTTTGAAGCTCAAAAAAAATAAGGAAAGGAAGTCTTGGGCTTGGTAGTGGCCTTATATATGCTATTTAGTGGAGCTTAATTAAGTTTGACTTAAGACTAATCAATTGGTTTTAAATTATTCTAATTATTTGACTCTGAATCGAATTTCAATTAAACCTACCATAAATTTCTACAAATTCCAAAGAACACATAAATCGAGTAAATTTTGTGATCGGATGTCGATAAGGCCTTCAATTTGTATACTGAAACGAAAATTCAGACAGATCTTTTTACGTCAAACAGATATAAGCACAAATAACACAATACATAGGCAATTAATTTAGAATTTCCTCTTAATTACTTATTAGGCATTCTTAATCATGGTTTAGTGACTAATCACGGTTTAGTGACTAATCACGGTTCGAAGTTGATACAGTTATCCCCTCGTTCATGACCAAGATAAGCAAAAGCAACTGAAGATGTCAAGTCCGTTGATGTTACCACATCAATCTCTAAAAGAGGGAGTCGATACCTATTAGTCTTGTATAAGTAATCCATAATCAACACATGTGAAAATGCACGAAACAACTCCAAACTAACCGGGTGTGACCAAAATCAGTTAGTCACCATCTCTCTATCATTACATCGATGCCACTCAACATAATTATAAATCAACAATTACCTTAATAGTTATTGCATCTGTGATCTTCCAGCCCTTTGAACTACTCGATGCTGATGACGTGTGTTGTAGATTGTCTTCATTGTTGTCGCATTGAAGGCATCCCTTTGTTTCAATGTAACCAATATCTCTTTTGGTCGCACCATACTCTTTAGCATGTTACTAGTAAGGTTGTTTCTTCCTTAGATAATCTGTCAACAAATGAGTGCCCTTCAAGATGTTCAACAGGCCGATGATTGTACACGCCGCATAAGACATGCAACATCCACTACATCATTTGTAGGTAATTTTCCTTCCTTAATAGAAATGGATATCCACACTTTTTAGAACCTGTCAACCTTAATCGTTCCCCCTTGATCTTCCTGTTGTCTCTATAGTAACCACTTCTTTCACAAGTAAGTGTAAGTCTTGATTTTCTACCATTACCTCTCGCATTTGATGTCTTTATAACAATGACATATCCAGTCTTCTTCCCAACGTCAGAAGCCCATTTAATTAATTCTTGACGATTACCAAAAATCTAAACATAATAAATACATTTATACGTCAAATTATTAATAAAACTCAATACAAATTAAAAATAAGAAAAAATTGTATTCATAAAAACACTTAACAAACCTCGTCTGTAATGAATTCATGACTTGAGTCCACTAATAATGCAGTATTTGCGTTGTTGCAATGAGTATAAGTATAATCCTTATAATCCTTCCAAGCAAAAAGATAAATATATATGTATATATATATATGAAACTGAAAATACATGGTAATGAGTAGCCGAACAAATTTAAAAAATTCGGCCTTAGGTTATCGGAAATGTATCTTTTATTCGGCAGTTGGTTACCAAACTTATATTTTTTTGTTCGATTTCAAAACACTGAACAAAAGTCGAAGAACATTCTAGAAAATCAAAACAAAAACCTACCAAACAAATAAAAAACTCATCATTTCACCTTTTTTATGGTTCTTCACCACCGTTTCCATATCCATTGCTTTTTTTGATGATGAAAATACTATGATTCTCACTTTTTGAAAAGAGATGTGTAAGAGGAAAGAAAAATTGAGAAAGGAAATAGAAGAGTAGAGATTGAAGACCAAAGGGTGTAAGAAGATAATAAAATATATTTAATTTTAGTGTTTTGACTTTAAAAGTAATTTCACACATAGATAAAATTGGAAGAAAAAAAAGCTCATATGGAGGGTGTAAAGAGGTAAAGTAGTGGTGCAAGTAGAATTACTCTTTAAATTTTTTTTATTACATTTCTATCCCTCAATTAAATTACCTATACACCCCTCTCCGATAAGAAGAAGAAGATTATATTGCTTAGCCCGCGTCTTTCACTCTCTTAATTCCTCTCTCGTCTACAGGGGGTGGTTGACAGTGGAGAGTTAGAGTCGCCATTGCATATCTATCAACGCCTAGTCGAAGCTTCTCTCTCTCATACCTTCTCATTTCTCTCACTTCAACTCTGTCAACGAACTCGCTCTTTGATGTGACCGCCAATCCGTCGACATCAACGACGAAGATCTGATCTAGATCTCAATCCAGCGCCTTAATCTCTCGCACCTTAAGCTTCAAAACTGTCGCGAGCTCACCGATCTAGGCATGTCCTCTCTCGTTGTGACAACCCTCATCTCTGATTAGCGTTAATTTGTGTTTAAGCATGATAAGTAATTGATTAAGAGGGAATCCTAAATTGATTACATGAGTGTGTTGTTTTAAACGCATTTCTATCTGTTTGTTACTGAATGATCTGTTAATGTTTTGATGTCAAATTGCGAATTGAAAACCTTATCGGCGACCGATTTAGAAATTGATTTGTGTTATATGCTAATTGAGATTTATATGATTTTATGGTAGGATTAATTAAAACTCAATTTGGAATGATTAAACTAGAATTAATAATGTTAAATTACTCTAACTTGAGTTAATTGCACTTTTGCCATTAGTGGGCCTTTTCAAGGCCATTTGCTTGATTTCATGTTTGGCACTATCATTTTACCACCTCCTCAAGACCAAACCGTGAGATAGAGGGAGAATAGGGGAAAATTGAATTCATCTAGAGATTGGCTTGAGAATTTAGAGGAATTGAAGGAGAATTGCATGTTTAAGCTACCACACTTGGAATTCAAGACTTAAGGTAGGAAATTCATTCTCTTAATTGTGAATTTAAGTTGTTACATGCATGGTTCATGGGAAAATTGGTGATTAGAGTCAAGAAATAGTCTGAAGAGTTGAATTGAGAAACATTGTTTGCATGTATGTCCATATCATTGAATCTTGAGATTATTTTCATGTGAATTTCCACATGCATGTCCATGTTATAGTTATACTCTAGAAATTCACCATGTTTTTGAGTTCAATCTTGCATTTGATCATGCTTTGGAGCATTAGAGTTCTTAAGAACTCATGCATGTTATGTTCTTGCATTGTTCTTTATGTTTACATTAAAATTTGTGTTCAATTGTCACACTTTTGGGCTTGATTTTATAAAATGATCTTTAAAACATGTTGTATTATGAGTTTCTAAGTGTTTTCTAGGAAATTGGCCCAAGAGGATGAGTTTTGGCATGTTGGATTCTTGGTTTGAGCTTTGGGAGCAAATCTGGAAAACCCAGATTTTGGCTTCCACACTCGAGCAACCACCTTTGTGTTCAGAGCTCCGTTCGAGCGACGAAATACTGGCTCGAGCATAAATTGCAAGCTCTCAGGTTTTTGCGTGTGCAGACGCACACTCGAGCAACGATACCTACGCTCGAGCGAGCATCGAGCGGAGAATTTCAGCATTCAGTACTTTTCATATTTTTCCAGACCGCTCGAGCGAGGGAGTCTACGCTCGAGCAGCCTCTCTGTTTCGGTAAGCTCGCTCGAGCAGGAAAAGCCATGCTCGAGCGAGACCCCTGTTTTCAGCAAATTTTGAAAAAGTTGTTAAGTGCATTTTTGCATCCTCATTCCATTCTAGGCATTCGTACGGCATGTTTAAGACATCTTAATGAGGATAAGGTTATAGAACCACACCAAGTCAAGATAGGGGCTAAGTTATCAATCCAGAATGTATAATCTAGTGTGTGTTCGTTCTGCAACTGTGTAGGGTTGGCACCCGAGGACGCTGATTAGCCTGCCTATAGCTCAGTAATCTGTGAGTAACAATGTTGTAAAGATATATTCAACTATAATTATTTTCTGAACGATCGACGGTACTGCTTTCTGAAGTGACATTGTTTACTGAATGAATGTTTGTCCTATTTTATGAACTGTACTCGTGGCATCCATAGCAATTTACTGTTACTATCACTGTTACTACCACTGTACTGTTACTGTTATTGCTACTATTACAGAGATCGCTATTAGTTCCAATGTTTGGAACCAATATTGTTTACTGTATCGATGGCCATCAACTGACTGTTCGGTCTATTAAGACCTGCTGTACTGTTCTGCTATTGGATGTACCACGTATGATCGCTATGATTTCTGAATGACTGATATGGTATGAAATATGAGCCACTGATTGAATAACTAATCTACTGACGCAAATGATTGTTTTAATTACTGAAATGACATTCATTCTTAACCCCTTTACACAGTTGTTATTCATTGGGCTTTAGCTCACTGTTTATATATGTATGTAGGTGGTCAGGCACCGGACCGAAGCTAGGAGCGTTGAGTTAAGCCCATGTTTTGTCCAGCTAACAATTGTGCCTCACTTCGAGGTTCCGAGTCTGCTCAAGCCAAGGCTATTTTTGGGGTGTTTCAGATTCACCATTTTGTCTCTGTTATGCATCGACTGTTTAAGACTTGACTGTACAGTTATGGTGAGGGGATTAGGTCCCTAACCTAGATGTTATGTGTATCTGATATGTATATATATTTATGGTTATGAATGTGGTTTTGTCCAGAAAAGTCTTTTCCGTCTCAGGTTTCCACAGCTCATTGGACATCTTTTATTTACTGTTTGGCTTCCGCCAGCCCCTTACTCTGTATTACTATCTTTACTGTTAAGTAGGCCTTTGGTAATCACGGATTACTGGCCGGTTACGATACTAAACCCATAGAGGCGGGTTTGGGTCGTGACACTCGCCAAAAACTACAAGGAGTTGAAGAAATTCTTATGTAGGTCTTGCAATTTCGGGGTCAAATGCATGAACACATTGCTCAATCACTGCTTGTTTCTTAAAGAGATCTCTGTCAATTGCTTCCGTGGCGACGACAACGGCAATGCCAGCGATGACAGGAAGTGGGATGGCCAAGAATGGTGCGACTGGAGGTGGTATTGTCTGCGACGAGGAGGGGAAATGAGTGGCGGTTGATGGTCGACGGGCGGTGGTGGGCAAGGGTTAGGGTTACCGTTTGTTGGGAAAGATGAAAGTAATTTAATATTATTTGAAAGTTAGTGATGTGTATTGAGACAAAATCAAAGGCTCCGTTTGGTTTAGTTTCTAAAAAGAGTTTTGAAAATTGAAAAAATTGTTTGGTTATCAGTTTTGAAACTAATTTTTAAGTTGTATATTTTGAAAGTAATTTTTAGAAATTTACAAATTAAAAACTTGTTTGATTACAAGTTTTCAAAACTAGTTTTCGAAAAGAGCTTTTTGGGCATTGTTTGTTTGTTTGTTTGTTTGTTTTTTTGATCTCGTAATCAAAACCTTTTATAATATTATAAGCAATTTTGTTTACTTCTTTTACATACATAATCTAAATGTACTTTTTATTTTTTTTTTCAAAAAACTTTTATTTTTTTATTTTTTATGTTTTCAAAAGAAATATTGTTTATTTTTGAAAAAATATTCTTTACTTTATTTTGTAGTTTTATAAAAATAAATTTTATTTAAATTTTTTTACAAAATTATTTAAATTTTTATTAATTTTGTTAAATTTTTATTTAAAACATATTTAAAATTTTTATTTTAAATATTGTATTTTAATTTTTAAATATTTTTAAACATATTTTTAAATATTTATTTTATTTTAAATTATACAAAAAAATATTTAATTTTTTAAAATTTTGGATTGCCCATATATATTTAAATCATAACAAATTATTTGGCCCATACTAAAAAAAATAACAAAATACTTTTTCAACAAAATAAAAATAAAAATAAAAGTAATTTGAAAGAACAAAATAAAATAATTATTTATTTTTTTTTTTTAGCATAACATCAAATCGTACAAAAGAGTTGAAATATAAGTTTCTGAAAAGAGTTTTGAAAATTGAAAACTTATTTGGTTATCAGTTTTGAAAATTCATAACCAAACAGATTTTGGATTTTTGGTTGTCAAATTGCGATTCAAAAGCTAAACCAAACGATACCAAAAATTTTAATTTGTGTGTGATGTGAACTAAGCAAATTGTGTGTATTGAGACAAGTAATGGTGTGTAAATAGAATTTCCCATTTGATAATTATAAACTAGGGGATTACATCTATATAACTTGTATTTGGTATAAAGACTATGTTAGTAGTAAGATTATAGGGCAAATTACACAAATAGTCCCTATAGTTTGGGACTTGTGTCACTTTGATCC